GTGTGTGTGTGTGTTTTGGTTCAGTTGTGCACATCATTGGTAACAACTGTATTAAATTCAGTTACTGGTGGTGGTGCAGGTGTAGATGGTGGGTATAGGTGGTAGTGCAGGTGTAGATGGTGGGTATAGTTGGTGGTGCAAGTGTAGATAGTGGGTATAGGTGGTGGTGCAAGTGTAGATAGTAGGTATAGGTGGTGGTGCAAGTGTAGATAGTAGGTATAGGTGGTGGTGCAAGTGTAGATAGTGGGTATAGGTGGTGGTGCAAGTGTAGATAGTGGGTATAGGTGGTGGTGCAAGTGTAGATAGTAGGTATAGGTGGTGGTGCAAGTGTAGATAGTAGGTATAGGTGGTGGTGCAAGTGTAGATAGTGGGTATAGGTGGTGGTGCAAGTGGCGTACTCAGGTGGGTTGGACTGTGGAAAAATAGATTTGGTCAAGTGCACTTGGGTGTTGACGACATCACGTTAGTCCAGTGGGTGGTGGAGTGAGTCCAGTGGGTGGTGGAATGAGTCCAGTGGGCGGTGAGCTTAAAGCAGTGTCCAGTGAATTTTGAACAGTGAGTGGTGGAGTTGAGGCCAGTGCAAGGTGGGCTCAGATCGTTGATTAGAGGCAGTCTTCGGGCCTCATACAGTAAGGTGAAGAAGGGTTGGTGCTGAAGAGCAAGGATCCTGTGCAGGTCTCAACGGTGGCTGGCTGGCCGACGGTGTGACAGTTGAAGTACTGCTGGTAACACGTCGTGCACATGGGGAAGAGTCCCACAGCCGTGCACGTCATGGACTCCTGGCAGTCTGGAGAAGGTGGGTCCATACCTCCCCCGCTACACAGTATATTACAAGGGGCGCCGACCACACACTGACCCACGGCTACATCAAAAGTGCCCCCTGAGGGACAAGAGAAGTGATATTTTTCTTCAGCCGGTCCCGCCTCAGGGCACATATAGAACTTGTGGCAGTCGTAGGGGTCAGCAATCTCCGCTATGCCACCCTGGCAGTACGCATAACACAGGTCGCCGCAACACACAGTTTCGTCCTTAACGCAAGTCTCGCCGCTAAAATAAGGTCTGTCAGCGGGACAATCATAGGGTCCAGTAATGTTGCCAGCTGAGCAAATGTAATAGATGCTGCAGTCTTTTGGGTCAGAGATCTTGTCCAGGCTCCCGTTACATGTTAAATGGCAAGGTAATGGCATGCAGGCAGAGTAACAAGAGTCGCCAGTAACACAATCAAATACTGTTGGGTCGAAATAATTACCACTGTCACACGGTATAGAAACATCCGAGGGAATACCGTCCCCCAAACAAATGTAATAATTATTGCAGTTCAAAGGATCCTCAACCAAATCCATCGGTTTCTTGCCGCTGCAATCCGGTTCACAAGCAGAGGGGACCTCAGCGACGCAGAGCAGCGCCGCCACCCACGCCACCTGCAGCAGACACCCGCAATGTTAAAAAAAAAAACGGAAACTCAGCATATTCTTTTTTGGTGTCCAGAAATAAATACTCATTAGCATTGTTTGAGTTAGCAACACACACACAACACACTCCAAAATAAATGATAAACATACATATGGAGCAGAATACCACAAACTGTTTCAGAGACCCCTCACAGACATAAAAACTATCATAATATATATGTGTGTGTCCTCTCCTTCTACTGTTTCTATCTGTTAATTTTTTTCTTATGTCTATTGCCCCATACGAGGCAGCTCCTTTTTAGCTGTGCAACTGTACTTGCACGGTACTCAAGGCAAGAACAAACAGACAAAAAGATAAACAAGAATAAATTTAGTTTAAAAAGGAATAAACGTGGAGAAAGTTATTTGCATAAACAGATCTAACCAGACATACATAATTCGAGATACAATCAAAGACAAGGACATAGAGACATACAGAAATTGAAATAAGTTTATTGAGGTAAAATACACACAAAGGGATGAGGTAGCTCAAGCTATTCTCACCCCGTAAGACATACAGAGACATGGCAAGACATACGGAGACTCGGAAAGGCATACACAGGCATACAGAGACACAGAAATGCATACATACAGAGACACAGAAAAGCATACATAGACATACAGAAACTCAGAAAGGCATACAAGGGCATACAGAGACACAGAAAGGCATACAAGGGTATACACTGACTCAGAAAGGCATACACACACACATAGAGACTCAGAAAAGCATACACATACATACAAAGACTCAGAAAGGCATAAACAGACATACAGAGACTCGGAAAGGCATACACAGACATACAAAGACTTAAAAAGGCATACACAGGCATACAGACACAGAAAGGCATACACAGACATACGGATACAGAGAAAGGCATACACAGACATACGGATACAGATAAAGGCATACACAGACATGCAGAGACACAGAAAGGCATACACAGACATACAGAGACACAGAAAGGCATACACAGACATACAGAGACACAGAAAGGCATACACAGACATACAGAGACACAGAAAGGCATACACAGACATACAGAGACACAGAAAGGCATACACAGACATACAGAGACACAGAAAGGCATACACAGACATACAGAGACACAGAAAGGCATACACAGACATACAGAGACACAGAAAGGCATACACAGACATACAGAGACACAGAAAGGCATACACAGACATACAGAGACACAGAAAGAAACAGACATACACAGACACAGACAGAGACAGACATACAGAGACACAGAAAGCATACACAGATGGAGATGGTGATGGAAAAGATTGTGAGAAAAAACCTAGTAACACATCTGGAGAGAAGAGACTTCGTGACAACCCATCAACATGGGTTCAGGGAGGGTAAATCTTGCCTTACAGGCTTGATAGAATTCTACGATCAGGTGACAAAGATTAAGCAAGAAAGAGAAGGATGGGCGGACTGCATTTTTCTGGACTGTCAGAAAGCCTTTGACACAGTACCCCATAAAAGGTTGATGCATAAGCTGGAGAAACAGGCAGGAGTAACTGGTAGGGCGCTCCAGTGGATAAGGGAGTACCTAAGCAATAGAAAGCAGAGAGTTACAGTGAGGGGTGAGACCTCAGATTGGCGTGAAGTCACCAGTGGAGTCCCACAGAGCTCTGTACTTGGACCTATCCTGTTTCTGATATACGTAAATGATCTCCCAGAGGGTATAGACTCATTCCTCTCAATGTTTGCAGACGACACCAAAATTATGAGAAGGATTAAGACAGAGGAGGACAGCTTGAGGCTTCAAGAAGACCTGGACAAGCTGCAGGAACGGTCGAACAAATGGCTGTTAGAGTTTAACCCAAGCAAATGTAATGTAATGAAGATAGTGGTAGGAAGCAGGAGACCAGATACAAGGTATCATTTGGGAGATGAAATACTTCAAGAGTCAGAGAGAGAGAAAGACCTGGGGGTTGATATCACGCCAGACCTGTCCCCTGAAGCTCATATCAAGAAGATAACATCAGCAGCATATGCCAGGTTGGCTAACATAAGAACGGCCTTTAGAAACTTGTGTAAGGAATCTTTCAGAACATTATATACCACATATGTCAGACCAATCCTGGAGTATGCAGCTCCAGCATGGAGTCCATATCTAGTCAAGCATAAGACTAAACTGGAAAAGGTTCAAAGGTTTGCCACCAGACTAGTACCCGAGTTGAGAGGTATGAGCTACGAGGAGAGACTACGGGAATTAAACCTCACTTCGCTGGAAGACAGAAGAGTTAGGGGGGACATGATCACCACATTCAAGAGTCTCAAGGAAATCGACAGGGTTGATAAAGACAGGCAATTTAACACACGGGGCACACGCACTAGGGGACACAGGTGGAAATTGAGTGCCCAAATGAGCCACAGAGATATTAGAAAGAACTTTTTTAGTGTCAGAGTGGTTGACAAATGGAATGCATTAGGAAGTGATGTGGTGGAGGCTGACTCCATACACAGTTTCAAGTGTAGATATGATAGAGCCCAATAGGCTCAGGAACCTGTACACCTGTTGACTGACGGTTGAGAGGCGGGACCAAAGAGCCAGAGCTCAACCCCCGCAAGCACAACTAGGTGAGTACAGACATGCGGATACAAAGAAAGGCATACACAGACATACAGAGACACAGAAAGACATAAACAGACATACGGATATAGAGAAAGGCATACACAGACATACAGAGACACAGAAAGGCATACACACGCATACAGGGGCATAGATAGATAGACACGGACATAGACATAGAAAGATAGAAACAATCATAGACAGAATGGCAAATACGGACAGGAAGGCAGACACAGATATACAGAAACAGGAAGGCAGACAGACGTACAGAGACAGAATGGCAGACACACAGAGAAAGAAAGGAAGGAAGACAAAGAGATATGGAGAGGCAGACAAACACAGACATACAGACATAGAGAGGCTAAGAGACATACAGACATAGAAAGACAAACACAGATATACAGACATAGACAGACAAACACAGAGACAGGACATCTAGACAGCAACAGACAGGACAGAACAACCAGAGACAGGACAGGATTAAGACAGAGGAGGACAGCTTGAGACTTCAAGAAGACCTGGACAAGCTGCAGGAATGGTCGAACAAATGGTTGTTAGAGTTTAACCCAAGCAAATGTAATGTAATGAAGATAGGTGAAGGGAGCAGGAGGCCAGATACAAGATATCATTTGGGAGATGACATACTTCAAGAGTCAGAGAGAGAGAAAGACCTGAGGTTTAATATCACACCAGACCTGTCCCCTGAAGCTCACATCAAGAGGATAACATCAGCGGCATATGCCAGGTTGGCTAACATAAGAACGGCATCTAGAAACTTCTGTAAGGAATCTTTCAGAACTTTGTATACCACATATGTCAGACCAATCCTGGAGTATGCAACCTCCAGTATGGAGTCCATATCTAGTCAAGCATAAGTTTTTCCTGCCCGAAACGCTTTGCGTAATAGTGGCTTTAGACATTTTATGTACTAGCTCTATCTATAAATCCATCAATGTTTGTATCACACCTTGTATGTATGTACTTTACCTGCATAAACATTTGAATTTTGATTTTTTTTAAGACTAAACTGGAAAAGGTTCAAAGGTTTGCCACCAGACTAGTACCCAAACTGAGGGTTATGAGCTCCGAGGAGAGACTGCGGGAATTAAACCTCATGTCACTGTGAGACAGAAAGAGCTAGAGGGAACATGATCACCACATACAAGATTCTCAGAGGAACTGATAGGGTAGATAAAGACAGACTATTTACCACAAGGGGCACACGTACTAGGGGACACAGGTGGAAATTGGGTACCCAAATGAGCCACAGAGACGCTAGAAAGAATTTTTTCAGCGTCAGAGTGGTTGACAAATGGAATGCATTAGGAAGTGATGTGGTGGAAGCTGACTCCATACACAGCTTTAAGTGTAGATATGATTGAGCCCAATAGGCTCAGGAACCTGTGCCTGAGGTACCTGAACCAGTTGATTGACAGTTGACAGGCGGGACCAAAGAGCCAGAGCTCAACCCCCGCAAGCACAACTAGGTAAGTACAACTAGGTAACTAGATAAGTACAGACATACATACATAGAAAGATGAACACAGGCATATAAAGACAAACACAGACATATAGACATGGAAAGACAAACACAGACATATAGCCATAAAAAGACACACACACATACAGAGATATAGAAAGACAAAGTGAGTAGAGAGTAGAAGCATCTCACCAACAAGGCACATATGAGCGGCGTTCTCTTCATGCTGAAAACTTTGGCGTGCTGTTGCAAGGTGAAAAGCAATGCTGTGGCAGAAGTAAACAGCAATGCTGTTGTAACACAGCTCTACTGTGTTCGCAGGACTCTACTGCGGGAAGTGTCTTGGAACCACCACTTATACTGCTGCGCTTATCACCGCGTGGGAGCCGCTGTGGGAGGCAAAGCAACAAAAATAGTTAACACCAGGGGTTGGTAACCAATGGATGTTTACTATATTCATGATGCTCGTCCCTCGGAGTCGAAGATAACCATGACTTCAATATATCAGGTCGAAGGTTTACAATATTCACATTTTGTGTATTACATACACTTTGTGTATAGATACACTTAGTCATACACTTTGTGTATGTCATACACTGCACGAGGCAACCAATTTTCATGAATATAAAGTATATTCATTGCCTGCAAATTTATGCATATGTGCATTTTTCTATAGAGGGGTCCATAGCTTTTATTAGATTTTCAAAGGGTCTCGAACCATTGGTCTAGAGGATCCATCGCAACTGCATCTCCCTCTCAGAGAGGGGAACCTGTCGGAGAGGTCACAGTAATTATCTCAATGACAGGTACAAGGCTTATCAATTACATGCAAGTATTAAACATTTATATATACAACAAAAGTCCTTTTTCAGTTTGGAAATTCTCAGACTTGCATACACCGTCGCATATACAGAGAGAGAAAGCACATACGCACTCATACAAGCTCGTTATGTATGTTCAGTCATACTAATAACTTCCTTGACTGTCTCAACACTTTCATTCTAACATCGTGTTCAACATCATAATGATATCTCAGTAATGTGATAAATCAATGAATAAATATTAAGGTATTACAGTGGATTCGAACTTGCGTCCCTGAACTCCACAGGCGCGGTCACAACCGACTGAACCTTAATGGGCTCTAAAGGAACCTCAACCAGAAGATCTATCAGACTTGGAGCTTGGGCGGCACCAGCTGGTATCACACTCCAAGTTCTACCAGATATCCGCCCACACTCAGGTACCCGCCCACACTCAGGTACCCGCACAAACTCAGGCACCCGCCCACAATCAGGCACCCGCCCACAATCAGGGACAATCAGGGACCCGCCCACTCATGTGTCAGTAGTGACATTGGGCGTCTCTCATCACTGTTATGCACAATGAAATAATAACAACGCCGGGAATCTATTAATCATATGTAGTTACATGGCTTTTGAAGTAGGTTTAAATTAGAAACCATTGCAATACAGTTGGGAAAAGGTTTTGTATGCTTAAACTGCCATTTCTACTGATGGTGATCCGGCAATGTGCTGAAAAATTGTTGTATTACACCACTGAGTAATATATCTTATGGTTCAGAATAGCAAAATTTTAAAGTCTGATTGGGTAACGTCAGTGGGAGTTCCTATTGTTAACTTCTTCCGTTTTAAGGGAGTGAAACATATGATATACGGAGCTTTTCTTAATAAGATAGACGTCAAGTACAGCGACCTGCTTAACCGTTCTGAAAGAAAGTTTTTTTTATTTATTTATAAAAGAAAGTCACAGTACAAACAGAAAACCATACACAAAAAACATGAGTACATACAAAATACACAGAATACAGTAATACATCAGTCAAAGAACCCAAAGAAAAAACAATCAAAAGGGAAATACACGAATAATCAATAGAGAACTACAGATGATACAAGCGTATAACAAACTCCAACACGGGCACATAAGACAAACTAAAAGCAGTACAGGACACAAGGCATTAATAACAAAAAACAGAACCACACAGGGAACCGTAAGTACAAAAAACAAATAAAAGCATTTTTTTAATATAAAAAAGGCAGAATACAAAGCACAAAAGGATAGAACAGAAAAATAATACATAATCAGCACAAGTCAAATGAAAGAGAAATAACAGTAAGCAAAGGCAAAAAGGCAAAAAGAACATCCATAAAATAGGAACATGAATACAAATACCCCGACAAGTGAAAAGGGCGGATAAAGTATAAACTTGGGCACTCCAAACCCCACACAGAGAAGTGCAAAATACACAAAGGCACGCTCCAGAGACATAGGAGTTAAAAGCACACATACCACATATAACATAAAAAGGCACAAAGAATACAACCCTTACAGGGCAAACAAAAAAAGCCCACGCAGGAGCCAGGAAAAAACACACCCTATGTAGCTCTTGTAATAGCACTTTCTCTGTAACTAGCTGACATTGTATCTATAAGGTGTGAAGGATTGAAGAAATTGTTTATGTAATAATCTAAGATGAGGTCTGATAAAGACCTTTTGTGCCCTCTGTAATGCTTTTGCGCTACCGCTCACAGGATGAGTATGGGGTGCACAATAAACTAGCCGCCTTCGGCGGCAACAAATCACCCACAAACGCACCAAACCTAACACACAAGCAGCCGCAACAGAAACAAGACATCCACACACGTGATGCACGCAGGCACCGGGGAAACAACACGCACAACACAGACAGAAACCAAGCACACCAATCACGCATACTTCTCCGGGTACTCCCGAGCTGGAAAACGTAAGCAATAAGCTTCCCAAACAAGTTGGTCACATTCAGAAAGCGAACGGCCAGGAGTCGCTAGAGGCCGAGGCATCGAATCTGGCACGCCGAAGATAAAACACTGCACCCGCGGAACCCAGATGGTAGATGGACACCAGTGAACAGGACGCACCAGATCATCACACTCAAAAGCCAGGCGTCGTAGAATCGTCGATCACCTAGCCGGACGGGAGAACGAAAGGGATGGGTTTCCCCCTAGGACGCTGGTCACAGGGCTGCACATCAGGAAGCACACCGGACTGCATGGCAGGCCGCACACTGGCCCGCCCACTAGGGCGTGCACTCCGTTCGACGTCAGGCACCACACCGAGTCCCGTGGAGGGAGGCTCCGCATGGGCCCCAGCACCCCCACCAGCGATCACCAGGGGCAACCGCCCACTGAGGGAAGCCACCAGCAGGAGGCACAGCGTCCAACACAGAAGGCACCACAGGAGGCAACACAGCGTCGGCCACAGCATCATCATCCATCGCATCATGCTCCTCTGCCCACGACCGGCGAGGTGACACACCTCGAGTCGAGCGACGGCGCTTAAAAAGAGGCCGCTGATCGTTGGAGCTGTCACCCCCCAGCAGGCGGTGCCCCAGAAAAACCATAAGCAGGCGGCCCCAAAGCCGGGGCAGCACGATCACGCAAAACAGCATCCTCGATAACGCGGGGTAAAAGGCCACCACCAGGCACAGAGACTGGAATCGGAGAGGGAAGAGACAGAGCATGCGGAAGAGTAGACTCCTGCACACGTGAGGTATTCAGGGAGGGTGACGGAACCGGCAGAGGAGAAGAGGTACTTGACAACGAAGAAACCGCCAGAGGCGACGAGGCAGAAGGCGTGGGTGGAGACACACAAACCACCGCCCCGCCAGCCCCGGGAAGCACACGTCCTTCAGCAGGAGAAGTAGGTGCCACCCCTAAAGCATCCCTCAAGGCCACCGGATGCGGATGCACCTACGTAGTTATCAAGCGACGAAGGTCCGAAACATAGCGCCCCCAAGTCCCCCGAGCTCAACGGCAGGGCAGACATATAAGGTCCAGCCATAGCGACATCTGGAACCGCAGCGGGAACCATACCAGGCTCCTGCACAGAGCGAGGATCCGCCGGGGAATCCACACGCACAGGTAAGCGAGGAAAGTCATCCTCCAGGAAAACTGAAGGGGCCTCAGCACGAGGAGCGTTGCAACCAGCCGCTACGTGGCCCTCAGCACCACACCGGAAACACGTGCGGGTTTGACCCCTGATAGAAGGTCCTCAGAGAGAGCCCACGAAACGAGACCCTGGACGGTATAGGGCTCATGAGCCGCATGACAAGCGTGCGTGAACCCAGCCGGACCCCCTTCAGCCGGCCTGCACTCAAAACATTGAACCGGTGCTTCACCACCATCCCAAACCACATAAACAAGGACATGAGGGCCGCTTCGGGGAAGGTCACCGGCACGCCGTGAACACTCACAAACGACAAGGGCCCCCAGGGATCCAAGATCTCCACAGACACAGCCGAAGCCGGAAGAAGAAGCGTGCGGCCATCCTAGCAAGCCACAAACTCCTGGTAAACATGTGACGTGGCGAACGACACCGCAACATGGGTGGGCGATAACTTCTCGAGGCCCAGGAGCGCGGGGACGTCAACACGGAGGACGTCCAGGAGAGCAACCTCTACAACGGACCAGTCCACAGCAGCAGAAAAGTCCAGCCGCACTGTGTCGAACCTCCGAATGCGGCTGGTACAAGCCGCGTCCATACCGGCAAGCGGGGCCCTCGACCAGCGGGCGCTCCACACCCCGCACAGCAAACCACCACTCAGCAACGGCAGACGACTACTGACAGCCGGAGCCCGACGTCTGC